AACAAAAAAAAAAGATGACCCATTCTTCATTGAAAGGAGGAAGAATTAGTAGTCCTTATAGCCATGGCTTCTCTTCTTCTCAAATCCAAACTATTGCTTCCTTTTGTGAAACTATCATTCCTCCACTCCCAACACCCCTATATGATCATCAAGATTCAATCTTTTCTTCTTCTGGTTCTCAGCCTCCATTCCCCAATGAGGTAAATTTTTCTAAGTCTTTTTTTTGCTGTTTACTGTCTCATGAAAAAGACAAACAAGATTCTTCTTTTAATATGATTGGGTTTTTTGTGTGTAACATAAGCATTGTTCTTTGCTATANTGCTTTTAAAATATTTTAATAGCCCATCATACTTTTTCAAGATAATGACCTTGTTTTTATCCGAAACTAGAAAAGGAACTGAATCTGGATAAAAGGATTAAATTAGTGATAAGCCTCAATTATTGGACTTGTTTCTGTTTATGAATGTATTAATGAATAATTGGTTTTACACTTTCTTGCCTTTTGATGGTAACATGTTGGAACTATTCTTCACTAAGCATACTTGGTTGGTTGGTTCTGTGCAGACTGATGAAAATTTCAAGAATCCAGCATGGGAAGCTATTGGGTATCATCCAGACACAAGACTGACTCCATCTGAATACCATAAAGAAAGACCACTTGAAAAAGGGATTGTGGAAACCATAAACGAGAGTGATGAAACCTTGAAAGAATCCTTAACCAAGAAAGGTGTTCCTCTTACTGAGGATACAAAAGACAACACTTTTAAGATAAGATGTGATGTTGTGATTGTTGGTTCTGGATGTGGAGGAGGAATTGCAGCAGCAATCCTTGCAAAATCAGGTCACAAAGTCGTCGTGCTCGAAAAAGGTCATTACTTTGTGCCAGAAGATTATTCTGGTCTGGAAGGACCTTCTATGAATGAACTGTATGAGTCAGGTGCAATGCTTAGTACTCTTGATGGAAAAGTAATGGTTATGGCTGGAACAACAGTTGGTGGTGGATCAGCTGTAAACTGGTCTGCTTCCATTAGAACTCCAACTGATGTTCTCAATGACTGGTCTGTGAAGCACAAGATTCCATGGTTTGGAACTTCTGAATATCAGTCTGCCATGGATGCAGTCTGCAAACGGATTGGTGTGACGGAGAATTGCTCCAACGAAGGACTTCAGAATCAAGTAATACGAAGAGGGTGTGAAAATCTTGGTTTGAAGGTGGAAAATATACCAAGAAATTCTTCAGAGAATCATTATTGTGGTTCTTGTGGTTATGGTTGTAAAACAGGAGACAAGAAAGGGACTGATACCACTTGGCTTGTTGATGCTGTTAACGCAGGCGCCGTTATCTTGACTGGATGCACTGCAGAAAGGTTCATACTGGAAGATAACATGAATGAGAAGATGAAGAAAAGATGTATTGGAGTTATTGCAACAACTGAAAGCAGGAAGATCACTAAGAAGCTGCACATTGAAGCTCGCGCCACGATTTCTTCCTGTGGATCTCTATTGACACCTCCCTTACTGATTTCCAGTGGACTGAAGAACAAGAACATTGGGACAAACCTCCACCTCCACCCTGTTCTTTTGGCGTGGGGATACTTCCCCGAATCCATGTCTGAATTCAAAGGTAAGAATTATGAGGGAGGAATAATGACAGCCCTTCATAAGATGGTGCCTGAAGAAACTAATGCACAGGCCATAATAGAAGCTACAGCTCTGGGACCTGCTTCTTTCGCCTGCTTTTTCCCATGGACTTCTGGGCAGGATATGAAGGAGAGGATGACAAAGTACTCACGAACAGTAAATCTGTTAGCATTGGCAAAAGATCAAGGTTCAGGAGAAGTAAAGAAGGCAGGGAGGATAACGTACAGACTGGATGAAATTGATAAAGAGAACATCAAAGCAGGCTTAAGAAGGGCATTGAGGATCATGGTAGCAGCAGGAGCTGTTGAAGTGGGAACATATCGAAGCGATGGCCAGAAAATCAGTTGTAAAGGGATCAAGAATGAAGAGTTGGAACAGTTTCTGGACACAGTTGGAGCTACTGGAGGGCCAAGCTCTAAAGGAGAACAGTGGACAATCTATGGCTCTGCACATCAAATGGGAAGCTGCCGGATGGGGGCGAATGAGGAAGATGGAGCAGTGGATGAGAATGGAGAATGCTGGGAAGCGAAAGGCTTATATGTATGCGATGGAAGTGTGCTTCCTACTGCAGTTGGTGTCAACCCAATGATCACTATACAGTCCACTGCTTATTGCATTGCCAAGAGAATAGCAGAGTCGATGCATAAAGAAAAGCTAATTTCAGACATATGTAAATGACATAAATGTGTCTCCCTCACCCCAGAATAAATCTTATCTGGGAAATAAAATTTACCATTTCAATTTCAACCGATGCACTGAAAACAGAATTGCAACTAAACTGTTACCATTTTGCATTCAATGATAGCTATCCACCTCCATGCAAATTCAACCACTGCCTAGCACACGAAACTAGATTACGCCGAAAAAGATGCTTGCCCTATTCATAAAGTAAGTGGAGCAATTTACCTAGACGCAACAATTGAATTTCTTGGATAGGAACCAAATCAATTTGAACAACTTTACTCATGTATAATAACTGTTCCCATGGCTAACTGGGAGATATTAAAAGGCTTATTCTAAGTTTATCGACAAGACCACAAAAAAATATGGTTCTAAGGGCCAGTAATTTTTAGGATACTCTCAAAGTTCCAGAAGCTGGGAACAACACAATCATGAATAAAGAAAGGGTAAAATCAGAGGGATAAGGATCAATAGGAACGATAGTAACGGTCACAGCTGAATAACACCAAGCTTATTCCAAGTCTTATCAAGAAGAATTTAATCCCTATTTTCTTCTTGTACACTTGAAATGTGGACATTCAGATGCTTCCTATCAAAAAGGGAGAGACTATGAAATAAATAAAACAATAAAATTGGTTTCCACTCAACTAGCAGTTGCTTTTACTGCTTTCTCAGCCGCATCATCTAAATCTTCGGCAGTTATCAAGGTCATCCCACTTTCCTGCACAGACAAACCAGGGCAGAAAGCAATTACCACTTGAGACTGAATTCTCTGATGAAACAATAATTAGCAACTGCCAAGTGCAGAAAATAAGTTCCTGCCTAGAGGATGAAATTCAGAATTTACCTTTAGTATTCTCTTCCCTTGTTCGACATTGGTACCCTCAAGGCGAACAACCACTGGCACTTTCAATTGAACCTTAAGAAAAAATGGAAGAATCAGCATATTTGCATGAAGCTTCGTGCAGTCTCAAGGTCATAGATGGAGTTATACGTTTTAATCCTCTCCTCCTCTTTCTCTTTTTTCTTCATTAGGGGGGAAAGGTTGAGCTAAAAGAACTCCAGAAAAGACAAATCATTAACAGGAAACGGGGTTCAGTAAAAAGAGCCATTCATTATCGATGTCTGGCGAGGAATATGGCAGACACCAAAACCCGATTTTGAAAGAGAATGCATCTTTGATCTACACAACCCTAATCAATCACCAAAGCTAAAACAATACAAACCTGTTTGGCCGCATTGACAATACCACTGGCTATCACATCACACTTCATTATTCCTCCAAAGATGTTAACCAGGATTGCTTTTACCTTCTCATCTGAAGTCAAAATTTTAAAAGCCTCCACAACCTACTTTGAATACAAGAGAAAAAGTTAAAGGTACTGAGAAATTTTAAACTTTTGAAAGAAAATCAACACATTTTTAAGCCAAAAACTGAACCTTCGCTCTGAACGAATGTTGATTTATTATTTCTATGTATAGAGAAGTGTTAATTTGTCATTATTAAGAACAATATCTGGAAAGATGATAACATGACCACAAGTGTTCTTCACGATGTACTACCAAGAAATTAGACATACTTGTCCTTCAGAGGCATTACCACCAACGTCAAGAAAGTTGGCCGGAGTCCCTCCATGAAGCTTAATTATATCCATGGTAGCCATTGCCAATCCAGCGCCATTCACCATGCAACCAATTTCTCCATCTAAGCCAATATAGTTCAAATCAGCTTTTGCAGCAGCAACCTGAGTTAAACAACAACAGTCAGCCCCAAAATGAAAACTTGTATATACTTGCGTAGGACAAAAGAAGCATGTCATCATTCAAAAGAAAGTAGAAGGAGTACCTCACGAGGATCTTCTTGTGATGAATCACGGAGAGCAAAAATTTCTTTTTGACGGTAAGAAGCATTATCATCAAAATTGAGCTTAGCATCAGCAGCTACCAACTTCTTATCAGATGTTTCAGCAAGGGGGTTGATCTGCCAAGTGCCCAAAAAAGACCGGTACAGATTGAGGGACATAGGGAGAAGAAAATTTCTAAAGGCACGTTTTCTACAAACTCTAAACATGTGGAACAGTTGGCTCTACGAAAGCCCTAAAGAATTCATGAACTGCTTACCTCTAACATTGTGCAGTCACATTCACAGAACATTTTATATAACTTTTTCACTTGTTCAATTGAATCATTTCTGTCAGCTACTTTAGGAGCCAAACCATCGACGACCTTCGCAGCATCTTCGTCAGTGATTCCTCTAAACACATCAATGGGAACCTGCAAATTACAGAACGAAAAACTTTTTACTTGAGAAAAATAGCACGAAACAAAATTGCAAGAGGTTGGATTTGAACGTTGAAGCAAAAGCAACCTTTATAATCATGTCAGGAAATTTTTCAGCCAGGTCTTCAATACTGGTACCTCCCTTTGAACAGGCAATTATGAGCTGTGGCACAGAAAGCAAGAGCAAGCAGCTTAGCTAAGAGGTTGATTTTAATGCAATTACCAGTATCTACCTGTTCAACTTCATTACTAAAAGAAGTACCAATTAGGCTTTTGGAGATAACAGCCCCTCATAACCATTTAATTATATAAGAACTTAAAGTGAAAAGGGTTGTATCCTGAAATTTGTAATTACTTGCAATCTAGATGCATTTTACTCTTGAAGTGGAATGAACCAATATATATACTTCCCACCTTTTGCTTGACCTTCCTAAAAGATAAGCAGTTAGGAATTGTCAATTACGATTGGATGCTTTAGAAAGTCATCCAAAGGTGAACAGCAAGCATGACTTGCTCTTCAATTAGAAATGAGAGCGAGTTGTATGGATAGAAACCTACTGACCACTGACTAGATATGAAGAATACATGCATCCGGCATACTTGATATTTAATAATAAATATGCAATCAATTTCCATGCAACAGTGAGCTACTGCATTCTTAGGATGGAAGATATACAATACAGCACATGTATCTAAATAAGTTTTCATTCATCTTCCAATCAGAATCTTATTGTAATTAATACTCCCTTTCAAATTGAATGTTTTTATTTGCCTTTGCATGATTATCAAAATCAAGGTTGAAAATGTACTATGTTCACTGTTTTAATAAAGGGAAAAAATGCCAAGATGGTACTTTTGTTATCGAAGAATATGATAGTAGAGATGTGCCAATGTACATATGACTATTCTGTAGAAGATAATATGCCTGAAAGTTGACCTTCTAATAAAGTGGACGTTATTTTGACATGGACTGAG